GACAGTGATGGTCATCGATACTAATGATAATCGTCCCACCATCCCCCAGCCCTGGGAGCTCCGAGTGTCAGAAGGTGAGGACTCAGTAAAGCGAGAGGTACAAAGGGTGGTGGAGCAGCACATCCCCCTCCTTGGGGCTCCAGGGGTGTCTCGGACCACGCCAAATACTTATCCCCTGTATTACAGATGCACTCTTGGGCTCAGAGATTGCACAGGTAACAGGGAATGATGTGGACTCAGGACCGGTGCTGTGGTATGTGCTGAGCCCATCTGGACCCCAGGATCCCTTCAGCATAGGTCGCTATGGAGGCCGCCTCTCGCTCACGGGCCCCCTGGACTTTGAGCAGCGTGACCGCTACCACCTGCAACTGCTGGCACATGACGGGCCTCACGAGGGCCATGCTAACCTCACAGTGTTTGTGGAGGATGTCAATGACAATGCACCTGCCTTCTCGCAGAGCCTCTACCAGGTACTGATGCCCCTAGGTGACCCCACACCTGGGCCCAGGGTTGTTCACGTCGGAAGGAAGTGCCAAGGCCAGAAGGGTCTGAGGTGGGATGGATGTTGGAAATGACCTGGGGATGGGAGGGTCCCATCTCTAAGTCAGCTGTCTGAGTCCTAGGAACTGTGTCTAGGTTCTTCATCCTCTGCCCAGAAATGGAGGAAGGTGGGCAGTTTGAACACCAAGTATGGGCTTCAGGCTGGCATGGATGCCAAGCAGGGTTCATGGGATCAAGCTCCAGAAATAAGCTAAGTGGACAGTAGGGCAGCTGGGAAATTTGGCCATAAACATTTGTCCTCACCCCTCAGGTGACACTGCTCGAACACACACCTCCAGGCAGTGCCATTCTCTCCGTCTCTGCCACTGACCAGGATTCGGGTGCCAATGGTCACATTTCCTACCACCTGGCTTCCCCTGCTGAGGGTTTCAGTGTTGACCCCAACAATGGTATGTTCTTCCCAGGATCTGATCCCTTATCTTTGACAGCAATGGGCCATATTTTTACCTCATTCCTAGAATCTCTTGCCTGAACCCTTAACTCCTGGATCTCTGACCCAGTGAGAACATTTCCCCTGCTTTGTCTCTATTTTAAGCCCCATCCTGACTGCATATCTAGAAGCCATTTCATGAATCTTGGAGACCATTTCATAAAGTCCCAGCACACAGGCCATCCCCTAGAATCAGACTTCCAAGGCCATTTCCTAGGCCCCGAAGGATCACCCTATGCTCACCAATAGCTTCTGCTGAATGCATATTTCTCTCCATTCCCTTCTCATCGCAGGCACCTTGTTCACAACAGTGGGAACAGTGGCCTTGGGCCATGAGGGGCCAGGAGTGGTGGACGTAGTACTGGAAGCACGAGATCATGGGATGCCAGGCCGGGCAGCACGAGCCACAGTGCATGTGCAGCTGCAGGACCAGAATGACCACACCCCTAGCTTCACATTGCCACACTACCGTGTGGCTGTAACTGAAGATCTGCCCCCTGGTTCCACCCTGCTCACCTTGGAGGCCACAGATGCCGACGGAAGCCGCACTCATGCCACCGTGGACTATAGCATTGTCAGTGGTAACCGGGGCCGAGTCTTCCAGCTGGAACCCCGGCTGGCTGAGACTGGGGAAGGTGGTGGACTAGGCCCCCGGGCACTGGGCTGCCTGGTGCTACTTGAGTCTCTAGACTTTGAAAGCCTAACCCAGTATAATTTAACTGTGGCTGCAGCTGACCGGGGGCAGCCACCTCGCAGTTCAGCTGTGCCTGTCACCGTCACTGTGCTGGATGTCAATGACAACCCACCTGTCTTCACTCGAGCGTCATACCGCATGGCAGTTCCCGAGGACACACCTGTTGGAGCTGAGCTGCTGCATGTGGAGGCCTCTGATGCTGACCCGGGTCCTCATGGCCTTGTGCGTTTCACCCTTAGCTCAGGCGATCCGTCTGGGCTCTTTGAACTGGATGAGAACTCAGGTGCCTTGCGACTCGCCCGCCCCCTGGACTGTGAGACCCAGGCTCGACATCAGCTTGTAGTGCAGGCTGCTGACCCTGCTGGGGCACACTTTGCTCTGGCACCAGTGACCATCGAGGTCCAGGATGTGAATGACCATGGCCCAGTCTTCCCACTGAGCTTGCTCAGCACCAGCCTGGCAGAGAACCAGCCTCCAGGCACTCTTGTGACCACTCTGCATGCGATTGATGGTGATGCAGGAGCTTTTGGGAGGCTCCGCTATACCCTGTTGGAGGCTGGGCCAGGGCCTGAGGGCCGAGAGGCATTTGCACTGAACAGCTCAACAGGGGAGTTGCGGGCACGAGTGGCCTTTGACTATGAGCACACAGGAAGCTTCCAGCTGCTGGTGGGTGCTGCTGATGCTGGGAATCTCTCAGCCTCAGTCACTGTGTCAGTGCTGGTGACAGGGGAGGATGAGTATGACCCAGTGTTCCTGGCTCCAGCTTTCCACTTCCAAGTGCCAGAAGGTGCCCGGCGTGGCTACAGCCTGGGTCATGTGCAGGCCACAGATGAGGATGGAGGTGCCGATGGCCTGGTGCTCTATTCCCTTGCCACGTCTTCCCCCTATTTTGGTATCAACCAGACTACAGGTGCCCTGTACCTTCGAGTGGACAGCCGGGCACCAGGCAGCGGAACAGGCACTTCTGGGAGTGGAGGCCGGACACGGCGTGAGGCACCACGGGAGCTGAGGCTGGAGGTGGTGGCACGGGGGCCTCTGCCTGGTTCCCGGAGTGCCACAGTGCCTGTGACCGTGGATATCACCCACACTGCACTGGGCCTGGCACCCGACCTCAACCTGCTCTTGGTGGGGGCTGTGGCAGCCTCCCTGGGAGTTGTGGTTGTGCTTGCACTAGCAGCCCTGGTCCTAGGCCTGGTGCGGGCCCGTAGCCGCAAGGCTGAGGCAGCACCTGGTCCAATGTCACAGGCAGCACCCCTGTCCAGTGGCTCTCTGCAGAAGCTAGGCCGAGAGCCACCCAGCCCACCACCCTCAGAGCACCTCTATCACCAGACTCTCCCTAGCTATGGTGGGCCAGGAGCTGGAGGACCCTACCCCCGTGGTGGCTCTTTGGACCCTTCACACTCAAGTGGCCGAGGCTCAGCAGAGGCTGCAGAGGATGACGAGATCCGCATGATCAATGAATTCCCAAGAGTGGCCAGTGTGGCTTCTTCCTTGGCTGCCCGTGGCCCCGACTCAGGCATCCAACAGGATGCAGATGGACTGAGTGACACATCCTGCGAGCCACCTGCCCCTGACACCTGGTATAAGGGCCGCAAGGCAGGGCTGCTGCTGCCAGGTGCAGGAGCCACTCTGTACCGAGAAGAGGGCCCACCAGCCACTGCCACAGCCTTCCTAGGGGGCTGTGGCCTGAGCCCTGCACCCACCGGGGACTATGGCTTCCCAGCAGATGGCAAGCCATGTGTGGCAGGTGCACTGACAGCCATTGTGGCTGGTGAGGAGGAGCTCCGTGGCAGCTATAACTGGGACTACCTGCTGAGCTGGTGCCCTCAGTTCCAGCCACTGGCCAGTGTCTTCACAGAGATTGCCCGGCTCAAGGATGAAGCTCGGCCATGTCCCCCAGCTCCCCGTATTGATCCACCCCCCCTCATCACTGCTGTGGCCCACCCAGGAGCCAAGTCTGTGCCCCCTAAGCCAGCCAGCACAGCAGCAACCCGGGCCATCTTCCCACCAGCCTCTCACCGCTCCCCCATCAGCCACGAAGGCTCCCTATCCTCAGCCGCCATGTCCCCCAGCTTCTCCCCTTCACTGTCTCCTCTGGCTGCTCGCTCACCCGTTGTCTCACCATTTGGGGTGGCCCAGGGCCCCTCAGCCTCAGCACTCAGCGCAGAGTCCGGCCTGGAGCCACCTGATGACACGGAGCTGCACATCTAGCTGTGGCCCAGGCTGGGCCCCGACCTGGGATGCGCACAGTGTCCCCAATGCAGGCCCCATCTGAGCCTGCCCTGGGCAGCCTCGGACCATGATTGACCACAGGGGAGGCCAGCTCCCCATCCTAAACTCCAGTGGGGGCAGGTCCCACATCTCACCCTGGTCCTGTCAGAGCACCAGTCAAATAGAGGTCCTATTGGGCACTGACCTGGGGCCAGGTCCAATGTGGGGAGAAATATGAAGGAGGCAGCAGCTCTGGGTTCTCCTCAGTGAGGGCTTCCTGCCTCGTGCCAGCACCCTGAGGTGGAGCTGAGACTTTATTTATTGGGGGGTAGGGGGGATGGGGGAGGCCCCTCCAACCTGTTTGGGCCCAGCTCCTTTGGGTTCCACTAACACCCCTGCCCCTGCACAGAACCAAGTGCCAATTCTCACTCTGGAGCCTTAATAAACTGCAGTTTGTATCTAGTGTCTGGCTGTATTCTGTGGGGGCCATTGGGATGGGGGACGATTGCAAGGCACCTGATGTATTGTGGACACCCTAGAGAGGCACAGAGGGGTGGTGGGCACGGGGCCTCTAGGGTGGGGATGGCCCTGGGAGCCTAGCCTGAGGCTGACCTCACATCTCTGCAGCGGGCCTTTCCCTCTCACAAGGTCCAGGAGGCAGACAGCGGCTTCCTTGTGGCTGGGATCTAGAGAGGGATTGGCTGGGTGGGGAAAGATGACCAGCTTTAGCCCCGAGGGTCTACGTGTAGTAAGAGCTCACGGAAGGCGCACGGGGCTCCCTTCTGAGCATTGTGCCTGCTTTATTTCTGTCCGCGTTCACCGCAACCCTAGGAGGCAGAGCACTTTAAATACAACAGCTTCCGTGTTCTAAAGGAAACCTAGGCTCTGAGAGGTTGGGTGGCTCTCCCCATACCTACAGCGAACGATGAATCCCGACCGTGGGTCTGTGTGCCTGGGAGCCCGTCCTCAAGCACTGCCCTTTACCCCTCTGGCTGGACTCGCAGCAGGGGGGAGCCCTGGACTAATCCAGAGCTCACCGCCAGAGGAAGGATCTGGGTGGCAGCACTTAGGACCACCCACTTGAAGGAGGAGCCAGCACGGGCAGTAGTTTCCAGGCGGCGCGTGGTGTGGCGATGGAACATAGGGTTCATGTGATCTGTCACATGACAGTGGATCTCCAGAAAGGCAAAATGAGACTCCGAACCTGGTGAGAAATGAGGGGGCTCCGGGAGGAGGGGATTATGTTTGTTGGAGGGTGGGGATACCCTGGCAGTCCGGCTCCCGCTGAAACCCGCCTGCTGCCTCTGCAGCCTCCTAGGGCTCCTTGCTCTCTGTGTCGCCAGCAAATGCAGTTACAGCCCGGAGCCAGACCAGCAGCGGACGTGAGTTGACTCAGCACAGACTGCCCCCTCCCCTGTGCCCTGTCCTGTGCCCACTGCCTTGGCTCCAGCCTCCTTCACCCCATTACCAGCTCCTGGTACCCCCTCTGTAGTCTTATTCCCAGGCTCAGTCTCCAAGCATTCACCTCCTGTGAGTCATATCTGCCTCTGGGATCCTACCCCAGGTCTCAGCCCCTGATCCTGAACCTTCCATGACTGATACTTCCCATCCCCCCCACTAACAAAGGCCATCTTCCTGACCTCTGACCCTGCAGGCTGCCCCCAGGCTGGGTGTCCCTGGGCCGTGTAGATTCTGAGGAAGAGCTGAGTCTCACCTTTGCCCTGAGACAGCAGAACGTGGAAAGATTGTCCAAGCTGGTACAGGCTGTGTCGGATCCTGGCTCTCCTCATTATGGTGCCTATCGGGAGAGGGACTGGGGCTGGGATGCGGGATGCAGTGGAGGGACTCAGGGCTGGGCTGAGTGTGGGATGGTGCACATAATGTCAGGGTCATGCTCTTCGTGCCTGGGGAGGCAGTGATATAGGGAAGTTGAATAGCAGTGGTTAGTGGCTCTCGTTGAAGTTTCTGAATTAAAAAAAAAGTGAACTAGAAATAAACTGTCCAAAATTCACTCAAATTCTTTTCCCCAAAACTTTCCACCTGTGTTTATCAGGCTAGAAACCTGAAAGTTAGGAGCCCAGGCTGTGTGATCAAATCTGGATTCAAATTCTGACTCTACTCCTTATCAGCCACCAGACAGATGGAGAAGTGGTAGTGTCGAGTACAGACAGGTGCTTATCAGCTCAATTCCTTCGCCACCCTCAGTCCAACCCACGCCCATGTCCTCCTCCAGTCAGACTCTAGGGCTGTCATTTCCAGTTCTGAAGCTCTGAAAGAGCCTTTGGAGTCATCCACTCTTTACCATTGCTTGTTACCGCCAACTCATTTGTTTATTCTTGCATCCAGACTGCTGCCCAGGCCCCTCAGGGGTCCATAGTCTCATCCGCTCCACCTCACTCCCCACCCTGCTCCCTACTCTACTCCAAAACAGTGTTCTGCTCCAGTGGTCATGCTGGATAGTGTCCCTCCCTGGCACGAAGCCCTTCATGGTTGGGGGGGGGGGCAGTCTCAGATTCACCCCGGAGCTGTGTGCATGGCACTGTGCAGGAAAGTAGTGACTCACTGTCATGTTTAGCTTAAAATCAACAAGTATGAAAACTGGAACTGAATTAGATGTCATCTTATAATTGGTTCTGAAAGTTTTGAAAACTTTTACTGGAAATAAACTTAATATGGAAAATTTTAATTTCTTAACTTCATGTGTTGTTTATGATCATGAAAATACACGCTTTAATGCAGCATTTGCAATGTTCTGGCCTTTAAGGTAAATCAGTATTTCTGGCCATGGCATTCCAAGTCTCCTCAGCCTTTTCTTTCCCTGGCCCCCAAATGTAGCTTGCACCTGCATAGCCTGCCTTTTTGCTAGAAAGTTCCCACCTATCCCTTGAGACCCTGTTCCAGGTTCTCTGGGAAGTCCCAATGTCTCCTGGTTGAGGTCCAAAATGGGCAACCTGGAAAAGCAAGATCCTCTCTACTGAATCCCTGCAGGAAAATACCTGACCCTAGAGGATGTGGCTGAACTGGTCCGGCCATCACCACTGACCTTCCACACAGTCCAAAAATGGCTCTCAGCAGCTGGAGCCCGGAACTGCCACTCGGTGACCACACAAGACTTTCTGACTTGCTGGCTGAGTGTCCGGTGAGAGGGAATGATTGCCCCATGGAGGGTACCAATCATCCCATCAGGGAGACAAGTCACTCCAATGGGAGATGGCTGAGAGCTGGTGGGAGCTTGTGGGTGAGAGCTAACACACGGGGAGACGAGGATGAGCAGTGATGCTCAGGTGGCCTCAGCTCTGGTCTGTACTGCTCTCTGACCTCTGTTCTCTGATTTCTGACCTCCAGACAGGCAGAACTGCTCCTCTCTGGGGCTGAGTTTCATCGCTATGTGGGGACACCTGCAGAGATCCATGTTATAAGGTCCCTACGTCCATACCAGCTCCCGAAGGCCTTGGCCCCTCATGTGGACTTTGGTAACACCCAATGGGGTTGGTGGGGGTTGAAGCAGACAGAGTCAGGGGCTGGAAAAATTTAGGTGCCATGGGGGGCTTGGGGTGGGATCAATGGTAGAGTGGGAATTGGAGTCGAAAAGATCTCCTCCTCAAGCCTGACCTCTCCCCACAGTGGGCGGGCTGCACCGCTTCCCCCCCACATCATCCCTGAGGCAACGCCCTGAGCCACAGGTGTCAGGGACTGTTGGCCTGCACCTGGGGGTGACCCCATCTGTGATCCGTCAGCGATACAACTTGACAGCACAAGACGTGGGCTCTGGCACAACCAACAACAGCCAAGCCTGTGCCCAGGTGAGCCAGGCAGAGAACTCCAGGGTCCTAACACCCTACATGTCTCCCCAGGTTGGGCTTGCTCTCTGACTCCTCCCCTGGGTTCTCACCCTCTAACTGGAACAGCATCCCCTGCCCTGACTTTGGGGCTGCATCCTCTGACCCATGATATCTGCTCTGATTCCTTTTGTAGTTCCTGGAGCAGTATTTCCATGCGTCAGACCTGGCTGAATTCATGCGCCTCTTTGGTGGGAACTTTGCACACCAGGCATCGGTAGCCCGTGTAGTTGGACAGCAGGGCCGGGGCCGGGCTGGGATCGAGGCCAGTCTAGATGTGGAGTACCTGATGAGTGCCGGTGCCAACATCTCCACCTGGGTCTACAGTAGCCCTGGTACTGCCAAGGGGACTGGTGGGTGGGGAAAGGGGTTGGTGGTGAGTGGTGATTACTGCTCCCGCAAGGGAATCCCATGAGCTAGACAGAGATCCTGACAACGTCCTTGTGTTCCTCCCCTTCCCCTAAATCCAGGCCGGCATGAGTCACAGGAGCCCTTCCTGCAGTGGCTCCTGCTGCTCAGTAATGAGTCAGCCCTGCCACATGTGCACACTGTGAGCTATGGAGATGACGAGGACTCCCTCAGCAGTGCCTACATCCAGCGGGTCAACACTGAGTTCATGAAGGCAGCTGCTCGGGGTCTGACCCTGCTCTTTGCCTCAGGTGACCTCCTACTCTAAACTTAGACCCTTCTGGAATCCAGGCAGTTTGACCCCACAGAGACCCTTGTGATCTCTGACTTATAATCTGAACTCACCAGGGACCCGGATCTGACCTCTAAACTCTGACCTCTTGCAGCAATGACTGTTTAATTTCTTCTCTGACATCCGAACCCACATATCAAGCTCTGACCCATTGATCTGAATGCTAAACTTGGTCTTTCTCCCAGGTGACAGTGGGGCTGGGTGTTGGTCTGTCTCTAGAAGACACCAGTTCCGTCCCAGCTTCCCTGCCTCCAGGTAAGTACTCCAGCCCACCTCTTACCTGTGACCGCCAATCTTTCATCTATGACCTCATGATCTGGAACCTTTGTCTTGACCCCACCAGATGCTCCTGTAGCTTAAGACCTCAGTTTAACTGGCTCTGGTTGCTGCATTCCCCTCTTCTTCCTATAGATCTAGGTCCCATGGCCTCTAAGTAGAACAAAGTTCCCAGTATTCCTCTTCCTTAGTTCCCAGGCATTAGAGTAGAAGATTTGGTGAATGTTCTATAGAGAAAAGTATGCACTGTCACCTCAGGCCCACGCCTTGAGGGCTTCATCTTCCCCATGTACCTGCTTCCCCACAGAGTCCAGCCCCTCTAGCAAGACCTAGCCCATACCCCCCCATCTCCACGTATTTTGGAGGTCCCCTTGGGACCACCACAATCTGAATGCTGTTTTCTGCTCTCAGCCCCTATGTCACCACGGTGGGAGGCACATCCTTCCAGAATCCATTTCGAGTCACAACTGAGATTGTTGACTATATCAGTGGTGGCGGCTTCAGCAATGTGTTCCCACAGCCTTCATACCAGGTATGTATGTGTATTTATGGGGATAGATGGTAGGAGGGATCCTCAGTTAAGCAGACCATACTCACTCAACAACACCTTTCAGGAGGAAGCTGTGGCCCAGTTCCTGAGCTCCAGTCCCCACCTACCACCATCTAGTTATTTCAATGCCAGTGGCCGTGCCTATCCAGATGTGGCTGCACTCTCCGATGGCTACTGGGTGGTCAGTAACAGCGTGCCCATTCCATGGGTGTCTGGCACCTCGGTAAGAATCAGCCTGGCTCCAAACTCCCCTCAGGAACTATCCTCATCCTCTACTAAGACCTTGCACCCAGAACCCCTGCCTCCTCCAAGACCTATGATCCTTTTAAACATCCGTCCCTGTCCCCGAGGGGCAGCCCGAGTGGCTCAGCGGTTTAGTGCCACCTTCGGCCCAGGTTGTGATTCTAGAGGCCTGGGATCGAATCCCACATCAGGCTCCCTGCATGAAGCCTGCTTCTCCCTCTGCCTGTGTCTCTGCCTCTCTCTCTCTCTCTCACTCTGCATCTCTCATGAATAAATAAATAAAATCTTAAAAAAAAAAAATCCATCCCCCAAAGCCAATACTTTGAACCCCTAACCTCTACTTACACTCTTACTCTTGCAGGCTTCTACTCCAGTGTTTGGTGGGATCCTATCCCTGATAAATGAACATAGACTCCTCAGTGGCCTCCCTCCTCTTGGCTTTCTCAACCCAAGGCTCTACCAGCAGCGTGGGGCAGGACTCTTTGATGTGAGTATGGAAGGGAAGGGAAGGTGTGGACATTTTCATGAATATGGGGAGTGCAAACATGAACTTGAGGGGAGTTCTCATTGGGTCCTGAAATATGAATACAGGGGGCTTAGTCTGTAAGTACTGGTACAGACAGGCAGCCCCAGATCTGATGCCCACCTTCTCCCTAGGTAACCCGTGGCTGCCATGAATCCTGTCTGAATGAAGAGGTGCAGGGTCAGGGGTTCTGCTCTGGCCCTGGCTGGGATCCTGTGACAGGCTGGGGAACACCCAACTTCCCAGCTCTGCTGAAGGCACTAATCAAACCTTGACCCTTTCCTGCCTGGAGAGTGAACTGGTCCCCTGCCCCATAGGTGGTGGCTTTGTCTCTAATTCTGCACTGTTGGAAGGCCTGTTGAACCCTCAACCATAGACTGCTACAGACAGCTTATATCCCTAACCCTGAAATGCTGTGAGCTTGACTTGACTCCTAACCCTACCCTGCTCCATCATGCTCAGGTCTTCCTACTCCAGCCTCATGTTCCTCTACAGATGCTATAACCAGTACTGATTGGGAGCCTCGCCTCCCCTAACTCCTCCTCCTCCTCCATTTCTCCTTTCTCTCTTCAACCAGGCTTTTTCAAATAGTTGTCTCTGCTGTCTGTGCACACTATTTCACTTGATGTTCTCTTCTCAGTTCATTGCAGTGAGACCTCTGCTCTCACATTTTCACTCTTTCCTCCCCTGACTATGACAAACATTGGCCGTCCTGCTGCATCATCCAGTGCACACTTGCTAATCTTTGCTTTATGGTCTCTCTGTCCCAGCTATCCATTTCCTCTCCTTCCTTAGCCTTCAGGGCTTAACCTCTTTTCTGACCATTCCCACTTCCTCCTTCATTCCCCCTTCCTCTTTTCTTCCTCACTGAATGTTTGTACCATTACTTCATCTTTAGTCTTTTGCTCTTCTCAGTCTACCCGATATTGCCTGGAACAAATCAGTCACCCGTATCTACAGCCATCACCATCTCACTAAATCAGACTTTCTATCTGACAATGATTGATACCTCAAGTGCAAGATGTGTGATACTCAATACTTCATCTCCCTCCTTCCCAATGCCAGACCTTTTTCTTGTGTTCCGTCTTGGTAAGTGATACTGTGCTTTTTCTGAACAAGCCAGAAGCCTAAGTGTTAGCCTAGACTCACTTTCCTTCACCTCCCCCTCCCCATTACCACTGTCAATAAGTCCTACCGACTTCCCCTTTTAAATACATCTTTATCAATCCATAAGTCCTGCCAATTGTTATTTCCTAAATATATCTAGCCCTCATTTACTTCTTTTCATCTCTACTGCTACTACATTAGCTTAGGACTGTATCTTCTCTCCTCTGAATTGTAGGAGGCCCTTGCCAAAGGTGTCCTTACTTCCTGCCCATCCACAAAATCGTTTTTTCAGAGTAAAATGCAAATCCCATCAGGTCATTTACTTAAGACCCTTCAAAGGTTACTGATGCAATTCTGGCTTTTTGCTATGACTCACAAACCTGATTCTTTCCTTGCCATTTGTTCCTGAGTACCAAATTGTTTATCTTCTCTTGTTCTCCCTCCCTGCTCTGCACACACTTTCACTTTTCCTCAAGGTAGTCTATGCCCTTAACATGTCCCTCGACTCCCTTTACCTGGTTCACTTCGAGTTCTCTTTAAAAACTCAGAAGTCATATCCTCCTGTGAACCTTCTGACTCCCTGAAGGTAGCTCATTTTTGTGTAGCAGAAAAATCCTAGGTTTTTAAAAACAGACCTATTTGATACTTGGTTCTGATGTAGACTAGGACAGAGCCTTGGACAGGTACATCTCCCCGAGTCTTTTCCCTCCTCTGTTAAGGGGGGATATCAATACCTGCGTCTCACAATAATCAGGGAATAATTAAGTGGAATAAAGTTGATAGAGGGCCTGACACAAAGAAGTAGGCGGCAGATGTTAGTCCCCTTCCTCCTTTGCACTGCATCCTGTGTCTACCTCTAGTATTGTGACTCCAATGTAGTACTGAAAATGCCAGCTAACCTGTTTGCCTCCCCAAGACTGTCAGTGCCCAGAGGACTAGAGTCTCGTCCTGCTTAACTTTGTACTCCCAGGCCTCGCTCAGGATGGGCAAATAGGAATCAAATAAATGTGTGTTGCGTTGAACACCCCCCCCACACACTCGCTGTGATTTTGCGTATGTTGTTTATTCAGGCTGAAATACCTCCTTCCCCAACTATGGCAACACTGCACATTCCTACTGCCCTCCATTCCCGGGGCAGTTGCGGGGGTGGGGGTGGGGGGTGGGGGGGAACTTACAACCCTTAAAAGGCTGAGTAAGGGAACTGGAAAGGATACAGACTGGCAGGCACCCGTGGCCGAGGGGGGTGTCCCTAAGCAAGGTCTTTAAGTGCCAGGTTGCAGGAGGGGCAAGAGGGGCCCCGGACCCGCAGAAGAGCGTCCTAGACATCCACGGTTCCCAGCCCCGCGGCAGGGCCTAGGACTACGCCGGGGGGGGGGGGGGGGGGGGAGAAGGGGGGGGAGGCAGCCTGGCGGCGGCGGCATCTCTCTGGCAAGCCGACAACCAGGAGGCGGGAGACCCGACACAGACGACAAACATGGCGCGGGCGGGGCGAAGCGCGGGGCGTGTGACGTCACCCTGGAGTGTGCGTAACGTGAGCGGAAGCGGAAGCGGCTCTGTTCGCCGCCTCTCCCACCGGCCCGATGAGCTGCAGCGGCTCCGGCGCGGACCCCGAGGCGGCGCCGGGTTCCGCCGCCTCGGCCCCGGGCCCGGCGCCCACGGTCTCGGCCCCCGCAGCGCTGCCCGCCGGCACCGCTGCGGAGAACAAGGCCAGCCCCGCGGGGACAGCGGGGGGACCCGGGGCTGGAGCTGCGGCAGGGGGCACGGGACCCGTGGCGGCGCGGGCCGGGGAGCCGGCCGAGCGGCGCGGGGCGGGTGAGGGCCGGGCCGGGTGAGGGCGAGGCAGCGCCTGGGGCTGGGCCCAGCGGCGGGTGAGGGCAGGGGGTTTGAGGCCGACCTAAGCGGGGCTGCGCGTCTTCCGCCTCCATGTCTATTTGCTGCTTTTCCTCCAGCTCCCGTGTCGGCGGGCGGCGCGGCGCCCCCGGAGGGGGCCATGTCTAACGGGGTTTACGTGCTGCCGAGCGCCGCCAACGGAGACGTGAAGCCGGTGGTGTCCAGCACGCCTCTGGTGGACTTCCTGATGCAGCTGGAGGACTATACGCCTACGGTGGGCTTCCTGCCTGAACGGGCTATTGGGGCGCTGTCAGGCCAACCTTCCGCTACACCACCTGGATTTCCAGCTTTCTTTCCTACTTGCTCCCCTACTAGCTCTTTGGTTTATCCCCTCTGCCCACCCAAACCGTGGGCTTCCTGAAAGCCGGGCCTGTCCTCCATTTCCCTCATCCTCTCAGCCCAGCAGTGCACAGGGCAAACACTGACTGACAGCCCTCTCGTTGATCTCTCAGATCCCAGATGCAGTGACTGGTTACTACCTGAACCGTGCTGGCTTTGAGGCCTCGGACCCACGCATGTGAGTACAGCTTGGGTAGGTTAGAGCCTTGGGTGCTTGTGTGGAGTTTCTTGTCTCCTCTCCTTCTCACCCCAGTTTTTTCTCTCTAGAATTCGGCTCATCTCCCTAGCTGCCCAGAAATTCATCTCAGATATTGCCAACGATGCCCTGCAGCACTGCAAAATGAAGGGCACAGCTTCTGGCAGCTCCCGAAGCAAGAGCAAGGTGTGAGGGGAGGCTCATTGAATCAGTAATTATCTCCCACAGCATCGGAGGCTAATTTGTCCTGAAACCCCTTTGGGGAAACTAAGCCCTAGGGGAGGTGAAAGACCTACTCAGGGTCACCCACCTGGGATTGAAATCCGGAATTCCCCTCCTCAGCTGGTGCTCTTCCCTCTTCCCTCAGGACCGCAAGTACACTCTAACCATGGAGGACTTGACCCCTGCCCTCAGCGAATATGGCATCAATGTGAAGAAGCCGCACTACTTCACCTGAGCCACCCAACCTAAATGTACTTGTCTGTCCCCCTGTCCCCACACCAGCCTGTTTTCATAATAAACTTTATTGTGACAGGCAGGGCTGGTCCCTCCCATGCTGGGAGATACCGTGTGGCAAGTGACAAAGCTCTGAGCCTAGCCCCTTTGGGGGCTGCAGTGGTAGGGATGGGGGCAGGGGATGGGCCCCATGGCTGGGGTAGTACCATGACTGGAGGCAGGGGAGGCAACCAGAGGCCTGCTGCTTTGGGGAGACACACTCCCCTAACCGTGTCCTGACACCTCTGGAGTTTAGGCAAGGGCTTTCCAGCTCTACTTGTCCTGCATCTTCTCCAGGATAGGCACAATCATGTCAAACTTGGGCCGCTTAGCAGGGTCTTCATTCATGCAGATCTTCATGAGCTTACACACATGGGGGGAAATGCCTGGTGGGATGGTAGGCCGAAGGCCTTCCAGTGCCACCTGCAGATACAGGAAAAAACAAAATGGGTCTCAGAACTTCTAATATCCTGTGGGGAGAGGCCTCTAGTCCTCAGGAAAGGATTACCATATATTTGAACAAATATGGGAAGAGCCCAGCCCTGCTATAGTTGTTGTCACCACCACTACCATTCCTTCAACATAAGTGCATACAGTTGTTTTCTCACCTTCATTCCAATCTCCATGTTGGAGAGGTCAGCAAAGGGTACCTCCCTCGTCACCAGTTCCCACAGAAGCACTGCAAAACTCCACATATCTGCTGAGCGTCTGTTTGTATCTTCAGGCTTCTTCTGCAGAGCTGGAGGAACAGAACTTAACTGTTCCAGCTGCCTGTCCTGTCTCTGCCCCCTTCCATTGCTACTGAGCTGGCCCTTCTCTACCTCCCAACATGAGGCCCTCACTCACCTTCAGGGGCCACCCAGGCAGGTGCATACATGCGCCCAGGGCATTGGAAGGAGAACTTGACGTCGGCCATGCTGATTCGGGCAGTCATGTCCTCATCTATCTGAGGAAGAGAAGATAGATATGTGCAAGGAGGTAAGTCCTATTCTAGATGGAAAGGGCTCTGGGGCATGGGGCAGGAGTGAAGTGTGACCTCACCATTACACTACGGCTATTGAGTGCATGTCGTGGGATGAGGGGCTCTAATGTGTGCAGGAAGGCCATGCCCCTTGCCATGTCCAGTGCAAACTTCACAGCTTGGCTCTGGTCCACAACGAAATCTAAGGAGGCAAGAGTCAAATAGTTTGGAGAGGCTCACACACCCTGCCCCATCCCATGAGATTTGGTATCCTCTACTCACTGGTGCCTTCATGTAATACGTTGTACAGGGATCCATATGGCATCCAGTGTGTGATGAGGGTGGGGTGAGGAGCAGGTGGAGACTGACAGGCACCTAGCACTGGGAGCACATTCGGATGCGAGAAAATTCTGGAAGAGGGAGAGTATCCCTAGCTGAGATCAGCATAAAAGATCTCCCTCTGGGAGCTAGTCAGGGTTCCTTGGAACTAGCACCTTCCCATTTAGGCCCTTTCCCCACCTGAGACGGGGACACTCCTCATTGAAGTCCCTGCTTTTCCTTGTACTCCAGTCTCGAACCTTTAGCACCTTCACGACGATGTCATTGCCCTGCCAACGGCCCTTCCATAGCTGAGAGACAGGTAAGGGTTAGGAAGCTTTAATTAAAGCCACTGCTTTCGTGTCCAATAACTGGAGGAGAAACTTAAAAAACAGGTGCAAGAGCCAGTAATTTGTAGGGGACTGGGGAGGGAGGGGCAAGAAAGGCAGGGTCACCTCTCCAGAGTGATTCTCGTTGAGCTTCGCCAGAAAGTTGAGCTGTTTGAAGTCAATGCCGGAGTGTTTGTTCAGAGTCCCATTTCCTGAGAGTGTGGGCAGGTCAGGTACCCAAGCTTCACCCTACCTAACCCAGCCCCAGCAGCCCAGGGTTATTCCCTCGACCACCCCTCCCCCTTACAGCTGACTCACGGGGCCGAGTACGGGTGGTTCCCTTCCAGAATGTGTCCTTGTATGGAATACGGTTCAGGTTCTGGCCCATCTTCTCTGCCCGCTCTGGGGAAGAAAAACAGCTTTGGACCTAGCTGTAGTATGGAGTGAGAAGATAGACAGGGACAAGACGAGAGAATACAAACAGGTTGGGGGACAGACCTCGGAGGAGCTCTCTCAGGGGAGCCTTGGCTTTGTCCACAGGCATCTCTCCATACTTGTTACAAATGCTGACAAGGGCCCCATTAGCCACCAGGTCCTGGAATGAAACAGTGGCTGTGTTGAAGGGCTTTGCTGCCTCCCTGACCATCCCAACCAACCGTGAATACAGATGCAGCACCAGCTTGAGGGTCATCCATTCGGCAGCACTTCCAGGATAGGTTAACTGTTCTAGAATCTCCCCTTCAGGCTCAGACTTGGCTTCCCATCCATCCCAGGGCTCAGGGCCTGAGCACTCACCTCTGCAACCTGATCTTGGCCCCAAAAACACGCATAGTGCAGGGGCACATTTCCATGCTCGTTCACTGCGTTGATGTCAGCTTTATACTGCAGCAGCTGGTCCCCATGGCCAAGTAGAAGAGGCAGAAGACAGTCAAATGAGAGACGGGAATTGAGGCATGCGAGGAGGGAGAAGAGTACACGTGTTACAGTGCTTATGACTGACTTCCAGATGCGTGTAATGTAGGTGAGAGGGAGCATTCATGCATACCTTCTGCACAATATCACGGTGTCCGTGACTGGCCGCCAGGTGCAGGGGGGTGTCATCCCCGCGGTTCATCACATTGATTCGTGCCCCCCGCATTATCAGCATCTCAACCACAGCAGAACGGCCCTCTCGGCAGGCCCAGTGCAAGGGGGAGAAGCCATGATCATCCCTTAGGAAGGAACAATGATCATTGATTGGGAGGGGGAATGGGGGCGAAGGCTTTGCTATGGAAAAAAACTGATAGTCATTCTGAACAAGCTCCCAGGGAACCTTTACCTCCTCAGGATTCTGATTTCTCATTCATGCCAGCAACTCCCAAAGCCATCCAATTAAGATTTTCCCCTGAGCTTCAAACCTAACCAACCACCACCTGCAATCTCAACAAATCCATATGATTGACTGTCTTCATCACCATCTCCCACCAGCCTTTCTTTCCTAGCATGCCCTATCTCATTAAATGGTAACATTTTTCATCTGGTTTCCTTTGCATTCCTTTGCAACATCTGCTGGTCCTTTCTGTATTCACTGCATTTCACAGCCTCCTAGGATGCTAACTTGTGGCCCTAGATTGTAAAAATCTTAATGGGCTGTCATGTCTGCTAGACTGTGAGCTTTCTGAGAGAATGGATTGACAGCAGGTGTTTAGTGCACGTTGATACAAGGGTGGAGTGTCTTGGAGAAGGTAGGTCACAACTCACGGGAGAGGGAGCAAGCTTACTGATCGGATCTGGTACCGAAACCTAAGATCTAAAAATGCACTGGAATTAAAATAACGTTTCGGAAGGGTTTATAATGAAAAAAGACAAATGCTTTTAATAAGTCATTAGTAATGAGGCAGATACAAACCAGGATTTGTTTTGGTAAAACAGGATTCCTCTACTCAAGCAATCCTGGTTCCAGAAAATAGAGGAAAATGAGAATGGCTTCTTTGGAAAGAAAAGTATCTGACTTTTCCCCCCCAAGGACATGTATTTTTTAAAGTAAAAGAACTGTACAAAAGAAAAAAGAGAAAAACACTTGGTGGGATCAGGGCCTGACAGCCTGGGGCCATAAAAGGAAATTCCCTCTGGCCTGGTGTGTGTGAAGATGTAAGGGGCGGGGCAGGGGGTGGTCCGTGGTCTGAGATGGCTGCCTCCGGATGCCTTAGTGCTGCGGTCACTTCCCTTGTGGGGGCTCAAGGCATGGCCTAAAGCAGATTAGGGGTCTGGCCACTTGCAGGCCACCCAGATGTCCCCCTCTCCTGGGGGATGAGAGTGGGGGGCGTGGCTTTTAATGACTTTCCTCCACAGCTGCCCTCATCTGTTCACTTTAGAGATAGTCCAAAGCTTTCCCAGAGGTGGATTATCCCCACCTCCCCCTCTCTGAAGCAACTATCCTCCCCTACTTAATCAGTGAGTTTTGCCTCCCAGCTCTAATTTGTGCCCTGGTTTATCAGCCTGAAGTTTGTGTGGCAGGACAGGCCAGAGCCTGAGGGCAAAAGTATGAGCACAAGGTTTCTGCTGTTAGGCTGCCTGTCACCTCAGGACCACAGACTATAATCCTGAAAGCCCTGCAAGGAGTTCACCACACTTAATATCCTGCAGATAGGGTGCTTGGGCCCCCAAAGCCTATCCCCCGCAAACCAGCACCAAAGCCTTCCAGTTTCAGTAATGCCACCCATTCACCCTTTGGCACCAGGGTTTTATACAATGCAAGTCCCCCAGGACAACTTCACCTAAACCTGTATGACCCTACCAACAAAATAGTAAGAGTGCTCAGTCTTCATCTAAGCACCCTTTGAAGAATTATGAAAGAATTATGGAAATTATGTAAGAATATGAAAAATGGAAAAGTGACCAAGAATTATGAGGAATAGCATAGAGCCTACTGAGAACCTGTGAAAGCTGGATGAAGATGACAGGTGATCCTTACTCCTCAAACCTAAAAACTGAATAAAATTTTAAAACAAAAAACCCTGAAAACCCACCATCCTGAATCATCAACATCACTACTGCTTTTCCTAAAGCCTCCTCGCCTCAGCCAACCTTGAAGAACTTGTCTACATTCACTCTATTTCCTCACCTTCCATTCAACTTGCCTCCAGGCTGCTTGCTGCCTTGAGGGCTGGCAGTATGTCTGGGCCTCTAGCATGGGAGGTGTTTAACCAGCACTTTAAAGAAGGAACCCAGTGTTATTTGATTTCTTCATCCATTTTCCTCTAAGCAGCCTTCACAAAGATCATCAAATTCTCATTATTAATTGTAAATTCAACAGTTACTTTAAAGTGCTCAAGTTTTTTGACTTCTCAACAGCCTAAACTACTGTTGACCACTCCCCCTTCATTGAAACACTCACTTCTCTGAGCTTTACTAACATTTTCCTGTTTCTTCTGCAACCTCCAATGGCACCTTTTTAGCCTTGCAGGGTTCTCATTCCCTCTCCTTCACACCCATGTCTTCAGGTATCATCTATATGCTAACATCTCCCAAATCTGTGTCTCCAAGTCAGATTTCTCCTGAACTGCAAATCTGCATAACCAACAACCTACTCAACATTTCCACTTTGCTGTACAGTTACTTTACCATGTCACAGCAGCACTCATCATCCTTCAGCCTTGTCCAACTCAGTAAAAGCAACCATCTACCCAAGTGTCTGAGCCAGAACCCTGGTCATCATCTTTGACCTTCCTCACTCCCCACACCAAGTCTTATCAATTCTTTACACTAAAGATTTCAGGAATCCAAGCACTTGTTTTTCATCTGCCCCCATTCTAGTCTAAGGCATCACCGCTCCTGGGACAGACTTAGCAATTGCCTCTCCACATGGCCACCTGCTCTTTAAAAGGTATCCAAGAGGACACTTAAGTGGACAATCTCATCATATCACAGAGGGGCTTTAAACCCTAGCTCTTAACGTTAATGACCTTATCATAGTGTAAATATCCTTGCATGATCTGGCTGACCCTTGCAGCTGACCCCTCCAGTCTTATCTTCGGTGGTTTACCACTTGTACCCAAAGCTTCAATCCATAGAAGCTCACAGAAGTCTTCTATCCTCCGGGCATATGGACCGGTGGACAATTTCCAGATTCTCTGCTCACTGTCTTGCCTCCTATATTTTGCCGATGCAGTTCACTGAGGTTGGAAAGCTCTCTGCACCCTGCGCCTGAAAAACTCTTGTTGAGCAGTCAAAATTCAGCAGAAACACAGCTTCCTCTGTGGAAACCCTCTGCCCCCCACAGGCTGTGCTTTGCACTGGTCGCACAGGGTAGGAAAGCCAGCCGCCCCCAGCCGACGTGAGCGCCCCACATTGCGGAGAGGAGCTTGTCTCTGCCCTTCTTCTCACCCACCAGCCACGTCAGCTCACCCCTGGTTGAGGTCGTTCTCCGTGTTGTCCAGCCACAGGCGAACGGCCACCGCGTTGCCCTCCCGGCACTGGGTGAAAATGTCGTCCATAGCAGCGTCCCGGCGCTGAGCGCCCTAGACTGGGGAAGCCTGGGGACTGGGGAGAGTCAGGGCAGGGGGGTGAACCCCGAGCTTTGTCCCCTACCGGAGAGAAGTGTTCGTGTAGGGGGTGGGGGTCTCCCGCTGCCTCCCCGGCTCCTGGAGATCAGGGAAGCAGTTCAGGGAGGCGGGATGGTCCCTGGCTGTGTCCCCTGGGCGCCAGAGAAAGGCGGGTCCGCGCGGCGTAGGGGGTGGTTCGGGGGTAGAGTCCCCTGACGGAGGGGTGTCGGCGAACGGGCTCTGGGACCCTCCCGCGAACTGAGCTGGGGGGAGGGGAGTTCGGGCGCCCGGTACCCTGGGAGAGGCGATGGGGGTCCTTCCCGGGGGGGCCCTCCTTCCCTGCTCGGTATCCGGGCCGCGCGGAGGCCGGCGAGCTGGCCGGGGTCAGGCCTCGGGCAGGGGTACGGGTGCTCCCGCACTCACCGGGACTCGGGCTGGAGGAGCCTTCTTCGGGGAACTCCCGTCTGGCCGCGCCAGCCGCGCAGCCCCGCCCCTGGCCCTCTCCGGCCGGCGCGGGCCCATTCCTCCCTCCCTCCCGCCTCCCGCCTCCCGCCTCCCGCCTCCCGCCTCCCCTGCCCTTGCCCTTCTAGCCAGCAGCGCCTAAACTCGATGGTTTCCGGCGCCGCTCCGGCCGCTCTAGCCCCGCAGACTCTCACTCTTTGGTCTCCGGCTCGGTTCCGGCGGTTCGCGCGCTGCGATTGCTGGAGACGCGTCCTGCGCGGGCAGAGGCGTGTGGACCCCGCGGCCTCCCCCACCCCAGCCGCATGTTTGAGGAGCCAGAGTGGGCCGACGAGGCCCCAGCAGGGGCGGGCTTGCGGCCTGGAGCTCCACGGCCTCCGCCCGCCGCAGCCTCGCAGATCAAGGTGAGCGGCCGAGAAGCCCACGCAGGTGGATCCGAGCTTTGGGTCACGCCGTGTGTGGGTGAGCGTGTCGGGGCGGCGGGGCGCCTGCGGCCGGCGCGAGATCCGACTCAGTGAGAGCTGTTGAGCAGAAGTTATGAACACGGTCGTCTGGACGGGGAAAGCACGTGCAAAGGCTCTGGGGCAGGGAAGCGTGTCCTGGGTTGTTCGGGTCACACGCACACTAGTCCGCGCGGTTGGAGCAGAGAGCTGAGACGGTATGCCATTGAAGTTGGAGAGACCGAGTAGAAGTTTTGCATATTTTAACGGTAAAAGCCAATGAAATGGTTTTAGCAGAGGAATGATTTCTTAAGATTTGCATTTTGGAAAAGCCATTGGTTGCGGTGTGGAGACTGGATTGGAGAGAGCAAGAGTGAATGACCATGAAGGATTACCAGCACTACCATTCTAAAGGAGTGGTGCGGCCGTGGGTCCTGAAAACCTCCAGGTTAAATGCCTGCGCTGGGGCCTCCCCGCAGGACTTCAATCCAGAAGGCCTCCTGGACAGGAGACCTTCTCCTATAAGCCTTTGCATATGTGAAAGCTGCTGTACTTCCGCAGGCCTTTCCTACCTTTCAGTCAGCGTCCAGCATGGAATCAGCCTGCTTTATTCCTTTTCATCCCCTCAACCCATTGCTATAATCAACACCCCTGGTCTCTCGGTCTACAGCCTGTCCCTTTCAGTTTATTCTCTACACTACAGCTAGATTCATGTGAAATACACACCTGTGATTGTGTCACTCTTGTTTTCAGAAACCTCCCTAGCTTTTATAGAAGGATACCACCTAGAGGCAAAAGCCTGAGATGGAGGGTTGGAACTTCTGTTCTCTGGCCTTGGTCCTGTTACTTGTGGCCTTACCACATTCCTCTGGGGAACTTCCATGTTCTCATTTGCAAATTGAAGAAGTGAGGTGGGTGGTTTCTCTTCTTTCCAACCTCCCAAAGGCTGAGATGGTGACTTAAAGGTTGGTCAGGGGCTGGCCGACATTATGAAAAGTAGTGGAGTTAACTAGGAATAATCCAGATGCTTCTGCCAGCATCTGAAAGGTTTCCACCTTTGCTTTCTGATTCTGCAGGCCCCGTCTATTCACCTCACCCCTCCTCTCTTTCCTTGTTTTCCCCAGGGCTCCAAGCACCGGCAGCTGTTGGCCACATTACGGGCCCTGGAAGCAGCATCTCTTCCCCAGCAACCCCCTAGCCTGCCCAGCAGTGACTCCGAAGAGGATGTGGTGGAAAGGAAGAAGAAACGCCCCAAAAAGGCGTCATCTGCCAGCACTTCTATTGAAGTAAAGAAGAGGAAGAGATGTCAAAAACAGGGCCCGCCTGGCAGTGAGTATGAAGAAAAGGAAGTAGAAAGGAAGAAAAAGTGCCTCAAAGGGGTTTTTAATGCCAATGATTCTGCCAAAGAACAGAAAAGAAAGAAGAAATGCCAGAAGCAGGTCCCCTCAAGCCCTACCCAGCACCTGGATGATGATAACCAAACAGGTACTAATGGATGTGTATGTGTGTGGGACAGGAAGGGGAGATCAGCTGATCCTGTATATGACAGAGGTTACCTGCCACCACTAGGCTTGGGGTTCGGCAGTAAGAAGTATTTCATCCGGGCACAGTCTCTTTCCTAAGGACGGGGATACGGCCAGGATGATCACCAATCCTCTGAATTCAGGGGATCTTGCCCCAAATATGCTTTCTTATCTCCCTCTTTGCAGGTCCCAAAGCTTGGAAGAGTAGCGCTATGAGTGACCTATCCAAGCCAAGTCCTGGAACCACTTCTAACCCTCCCCAGACCTTGAGCCGTAAGCAGTGGCGGAACCGGCAAAAGAACAAACGGAGACATAAGAACAAGTTTCGGCCACCTCAGCCGTTGGACCAGGCTCCAGCCACAGCCCCAACAGAGGAGGCAGAGGTGCCTCCTGCCCCCAGTCCAGATAACCATGAGGATCGGGCCGGGGCTCTGCGAGCCCGCATGGCCCAGAGGCTGGATGGTGCCCGATTTCGCTACCTCAACGAACAGCTATACTCAAAGCCTAGCAGTGCCGCACAGCGCCTCTTTCAGGAAGACCCTGAGGCTTTTCTCCTCTACCACCGCGGCTTCCAGAGCCAAGTCAAGAAGTGGCCACTGCAGCCAGTGGACCGCATCGCCAGGGATCTTCGCCAGCGGTGAATGGGGGTTGGGCACTGCGAGAAGCGATGTGGGTCAGTCATGGCTCAGACTAGACCAGTGAATGATCCCTCCCCTCCACTCCCAGGCCTGCGTCCCTGGTGGTAGCTGACTTCGGCTGCGGGGACTGCCGCCTGGCTTCAAGTATCCGGAACACTGTGCACTGCTTTGACTTGGCGTCTCTGGACCCCAGGGTCACTGTGTGTGACATGGCTCAGGTAAGCCCTCCTATCTCTCCGTGGATCTGGCCTGTGCTCTAGACCCAGCCTCCACGTGCTAATCTCTAATGCTCCCTTCCTCCACACCCTGCATCCTGGTGTCTAGGGCTAGCAGCCCGTGCTGGATTTCTGCTCCCATGTTGTGTGCTCTATACAGTACTCCCACTCTCCACAGGTGCCTCTGGAGGATGAGTCCGTGGATGTCGCAGTGTTCTGCCTTTCACTGATGGGAACCAACATCAGGGACTTCCTAGAGGAGGCAAATCGAGTGCTGAAGCAAGGGTAGGAGTTCCCGGGACACAGACGCATGTATATATGTACACAGGCATATGTCTGTGCATTTACATAGAACTTCTCCCCTCTACGCAGGGGTCTCTTGAAAGTGGCTGAAGTCAGTAGCCGCTTTGAAGACGTTCGGACCTTTCTGGGGGCTGTGACCAAACTGGGCTTCAAGGTCATCTCCAAGGTAAGGGTCCCAAGAAGTCTCCCCATTTTTGTCTCATATGGTCTTTTTTAGGGTAATGGTGTTTAGGAAGGAAGCTATAGGCACAGACACCGACATTTGCTCTTTGAAGGCAGGATGCATGGGAGAGCCCTGGGAAGCTTTCTGAGCAAGGGCGGGACATGGACAGAAATGCCTTGAGGACCTGGGGTGAGGATTTGGAGCTCACTAGGTCTTTTCCATCCCTAGGACCTTACCAACAGCCACTTCTTCTTGTTTGACTTTGAAAAGACTGGGCCTCCCCGGGTAGGGCCCAAGGCTCAGCTCACAGGCCTGAAGCTTCAGCCATGTCTCTACAAGCGCAGGTGACCTCTGGGCCCACCTTGAAAGGGGAAGCAAGTCTTGAACTCCAGGCTCAGAACTCTGAAGACTGTATCCAGCCAAGCTCTGACTCAGGAACTGGTACATCCCTTCCTCTGTCCCAAGACCAAAGTATAATGAAACCCCCTGATTCAGCCCAACTCTAAGGGAGGCTTCTTGGTTGTGAGAGGCATAAAGTCACTTGGGCTAGCTAAAGAATAAGGAGTTTATTGTTAAAATACAAGTGTATCGGGGAATTATGAGTCTTCCAGATGTGGGAACTAGCTGGTTTGGAATTCCAGGCATCTCTGGGTTTGGCTCTTCTTTCCATCTCTCAGGAGCCACATGGACTTTCTGTCCTGTCATCTCTACTCTCTTCTGATTTCCATCTGCTGAGGAAATCTACAGCCAAGGCCGGGTACATAAGTGCACAATAAACTTCAGCTATGGCTGTGATGTGTTGTAAGCCTTACTATTTTCTAAAGCCCTTCCTTAGGGTTGAAGGTTGAAGAGTAAAGAATGGATTTGTTGACTGGGGAAGACTGAGAGAGAGTTCAAGGTAGGCCTTCTAATGGGCTTCATTTCACAGGGTATTCAGAGATTGTTGATAAGTTCTTGGAGGAGGATGGTAAGGGAGCTGGGTCTCTTCATAAATAACTAGTTGATGCCATGGTAGTGTGGAGCATTGGGCTGTCCATTGGCACAAGGGTCTGTGTTGTTTTCACCTTGCAGCGGGCCCATATCAGCATGCCTAGGAAAGTTATGGGAAAGGAAGGCTGGTATTGGAAAAAGATGAACTGGGATGATAGACCCTTGCCCTCTCTTCGAAGGTATCTGCTATGGGTCTAGGTATAAAGACGCAGCCTCTTACCTGTTGTGAAGGGCAAAAACTGACAGTGCCCACTGGGACACAGCTTCCAGGGCTCTAAGCCAGTCAGATACCTCCAGTGAGGAGATGGAGGCTTTGAGGTATGCTGTAGGCCAGAGAGCATGTTTGGAGGCTAGGCTGTGTCCCCCAGTGTCTTTGAATGTGCTCTTCTGTCTGCTGAATACTGACTGATGGAGTCTTATTCATCCTTCCACATAGCTTAGTTGTTCCCTGCTGCACCCCTCCCAAAGCAGAATTAACTTCTTCATCTGCTCATCTGCTTTCTTCAAATTGCACTGATTGCTTTGTGCATTAGGCTGCGGTCTTTTCTTTTCTTTTCTTTTTTTTAAAGATTTTTATTCATTTATTCATGAGAGAGAGAGAGAAGCAGAGACACAGGCAGAGGGAGAAGCAGTCTCCATGTAGGGAGCCCGATGTGGGAATCAATCCCAGCACTCCAGGATCATGCCCTGGGCCGAAGGCAAGCACTACACCACTGAACCACCCAGGGATCCCTAGGCTGCGGTCTTTTTGACTCGTATTTATCTTCATATTCTCAGAGCTTGTCACTGAGGTGGTGGAAAAACAGGGTCTAGTTGAGTGGGACTGATGAGAGGAGGGTGTTGCAGGAACCCAGGTTCACAGTTCAAGATGTGAGCACCAGGGACAGGGACAATGCAAGTAAGCAGATGGGAGAAGTTGAGCAGGTGGGATATTGAAGGTTGGTGAGAGGAAGGAATCTGAAGTAAGTGTCTTCTTGCTTGAGCAACAGGTTGGGCTGGTGCTGTCATTGAGAATGTTGGGTTTTAGGTACCTGTTTGATGTTCATTTGGAAGAGGGATGTAAAAATGCCAGGAGAGATCTTTGCTGGGATTTGGGAATAAGCCATCCAGAGGTGGTAATTAAAGTCATGGGAACAGAGAAGGTATCCAGAATAATATATATAGAGAAAACGGCTCAATAAAATTCTGAGGAGCATGTAATGGATAAGGAAAAGCAAATGGACCCATCAGGGTGACAATGTGAGAAGGTTGGTCAAGAAATGGAGGAGTAAAACCAAGAGAGTGAGTGCTTTCAATATGGAAGGAAGGGATGGGGAAGTCGTCAGCTGTCAAATGCTGTTGCAAGGTCTGTTAAAATTCAGAGTGAAGTCAGATTGCAGTAAGGTAAAAATTGCTAAATAATGTTGAGGGCTTCTTTGAATTTATATTGGTATTACTCATGACTTTATGGTTACACCAGCCAGCCCAGTGGTGTGGTTATCTCTGCCTATTCAGGAATCTAGGTGTAGCTGTGGGGAAAATGAACAGTAAAGGATCATCCAGAGCTGAAATCTTGCCATGCGATGCAAATGAAAGGAAAGCAAACAAAGGCATTTCACACCATTTAGAAGTAACATCACCATGTGGGATTGGGCAATGTTGTAGAAGTGGTAGGAGAGTGAAGACGAGGAATGGGTTGTTGCACTAGGAATCATTAAACAAGCAACCTGGGCAGATGAGAACTGGTGGTCAGAAATTAGAGTGCCTGAATTCTTAGTGTTGGAAGCATAGCAGCTCCAGGCAATGGCTGAGCCTAGAGTGAAGCCACAGGGGTCAGTCCCTGAGAGGCGTGTGAGGGAGATGCCTGTACACTGGATAATGGACTGAGGGCTCTGGTATTATGGGGAGGTCTTGTCTGATTGGATTTTGAAGTTCTCCAGGATGATGATAGAAGTTGGCACAGAACAGGTGCCAACCTCTTGAGGGAGGAGGCTGATCCAGGAGATATGCAGAGAAAGTGACAGGGAAGCTAGATGGCACGAATTTCAGAAGTGCAAGGGGTTTGGGCTGCCTACTAGAGAGACTGCCATTTTGGGAGCAATGTGAGGCTGATGAGTGGAGCTGGCTACTGGGATAAAACACCCTCACAGTCCTCTCCAGCTTGTCAGGATTCACTGGGGAAATTATTATTATGGCAGCTGCATGGGACAGGAGCCTCCAGGAGTAAGGGGAGGCAGGCCACAAAGTCCAAGGGAGGTGTTGGAGTAGCAGGCATGTCATTGTGGGACACACTTTACCTTTGATAGGTTCCTGTTTCTTTCTTTTTTTATATATAATTTTTTAAATTTTTATTTATTTATGATAGTCACACACAGAGAAAGAGAGAGGCAGAGACATAGGCAGAGGGAGAAGCAGGCTCCATGCACCTGGAGCCTGACGTGGGATTCGATCCTGGGTCTCCAGGATCGCGCCCTGGGCCAAAGGCAGGTGCCAAACCGCTGCACCACCCAGGGATCCCAGGTTCCTGTTTCTGTTCTTTCACAGATGTTCATATTCCTAGATCTTGGTTAATTTTCCCTTTTTTTTTTTTTTTTTTTAATTTTCAGCAAGACAGCTAGGATCTGCTTTTTTTTTTTTGTTCTCCTTACTTACCATTTGGATTCTTCCTTTACCTGTTCTGGCTCAGTCCACCCAAGTAAATATTTCTCTGGCTTGGACTCAGCTCAGGCCCACTGGTATCTCCATCGGTTGCTCTGATTCTGAAAGCGGGACTCCTCTGAGCCTGATCTGGGGCCTCCCGGCTCCATTATTAGCTCCCAGATAAACTCTTGGGCAAGCCGAAGTTCCTAGACCTCAGTGTTTAATGTTGAGAGCCTAGGTTGGAGAGAGAACAGTATATTTCCTTAAGAAATAACAGCATGACAGCTAAGCAAACTAGTTTGAAGACAATTTGAGAACAGGTTGAAAGAAGGGCAAGAGTAGTAAAAGGTAAGTGGGAGGGGGTTGCTCTACTGTGCAAGGCAGCGCATTAGAATCACCCGGTGATTACCAAGCCCTCCCCCAGTTTCTGATTCAGGAGATCAGGATAGGGTTTGAGAAGTTTTATTCTGGTTGCTTTGGTTTTTCACAGTGAAGTAGGAAGCAGGGTTGAGAGAGTAGCAGAGAAGGGGTTGGAGTTTTGAGGCAAGGAGAACGTGAATATCCTCAAGAGAGTAAGACGGAATGAATGAATAAGGAAAATTGAGTATGATTGCTGGTGGTATTAATAGCATGCTTGAGGTTCAAGGTCAGAAAGAGGATGCATGGGAAGAGGCTGTGCAGGATGGCTTTGTAGAGAGCTTGCTGTTGTGAGACGGCACAGCTGGACTGTGGGGACCCACCCCCTTCACCTTAAACCTAACTGCGGACTCCACTGGGACCATTCAGGAAGCTTGAAGAATTTATTCCTACAGCTGAGGAATGATGAGGCTGGAGTCTGACTCCTGCCCTGGGAATGTAGAGGGCAAGCAGAGACTCACTAACTGTTTCAGTGGTGGAGCTGGGGGAGTGCTGCTGCTTTTGCATAGACCTGCATTCCCAGAATTGGCTGTGGCAAGTGATGCAGGTGTCACGTATCCTGTGCATCTTGCAGGAAAGAGGGAAGCATGAGGTGGTCTTGGGTCCTGTCCAGTAGGACCATTTGAGGAAGCAAGGAGACCTTAGCACAAAGAAGCTAGGAATGTGCCATGTGGGCTGAGGAGGGAGATGCAAGAGACCACACACTAATGCTGCCTCTACCAGGGTCAAGGGGACAGCAGGGATATCCCCTTTAAGTATCTGCCAGGCCCATAGGGCACAAAAGCATCCAGTCTAGCAAGAACCTTCTGACCACTCTTACCCCTTACTCCTATGCAGCTGGGCCCAGAGCAGTCAGCAGCTGTTAGGTAGTTTGGAAGTAAGAAGAACAAAGAGCACTCAGATTATTCTTCCCCTCCCCAGCTCAGGCTCCTGGAGACTAGACTTAAGTGGGGCAGGGCTGGGAGGGGAAGTAGTTAGAGCTACAGTAAGTACAGATTATTTACTGTTACATAGGGTTATTCTAATTGCTTGTGGTTACTTAGGACTATTAACTAAGAATGAGCTGAAACGTCCCAGGCTTGCTGCAGTTTCTCTCCACAGCAGGGGAAGAGTGCCCCCAAATGAAAAAAGCCTGCAGGGTTAGTGAGAGACAAGAATCCGGTTGGGTTTGGATGGTAGCCTGTGCCTTGTGCTTGTTCAGCGTGCTTTGAGAGGTCTCTTGCTGCTGCAGTGTTTGGTGTGCTCCAGCCTTTATTCCTGTAACACAGCCGTATGGGAACATAGTTCCAAAGGAAACAACATGGTCTTGGCAGAGACACAGCTCAGCTCCAAACACTCAGCCATTTACATATTTGCACAAAGCCCTTTACAGCTTTTCACAGGCGGAGACCCGCAATTAGAGCTTTGTATCCACAGGTCATCCTCCTTCCCAAGTGACTTCTCAGACCAGCCACCTGGTTCTAGGATGGCACCTGGTTCTAGGACGGTCAACCACTGTAGCAACTGCCTTACTGGTTTAACTATTTCCACTTCTGCCCCCAAAGCGATTCATTTCCACACAGCCAAGTGATGTTTTTAAAATGTAAATCAGATATGTCATTTCTCTTTTTAAAATCCTTCAATGGGTTCTCAGTGCTTTGAGACAAAAGACAGACCCGTTCCCAGGCCCTCTGTGATCTTGCCCCAGGCCTCGCTCTCCCGAATGCGTCTTAACCCACTCCTTCCTCATGAGGCTCCAGCCACATGGGCTTTGTCATTCCTCACACATCCCAACCTGTTCTGCTGGGTTTTCAGACATGCTGGTTCATCTTCCTACAATACTTTTTTTGTGATGAGCTCATTTTCATCTTCCAGGTCTTCACATCACATCCCCTTTTTTTGTGATGAGCTCATTTTCATCTTCCAGGTCTTCACATCAATATCTTCTGTAGAAGAAACTGGCTAGATGCTTACCAAAATGTCCATCTCAGGCAGCCCCGGTGGCTCAGTGGTTTGGCGCCGCCTTTGGCCTGAGGTGTGATCCTGGAGACCCAGGATCAAGTCCTGCGTCGGGCTCCCTGCATGGAGCCTGCTTCTCGCTTGCCTGTGTCTCTGCCTCTCTCTCTCTCTGTGTGTCTCTCATGAATAAATAAAATCTTAAAAAAAAAAAATGTCCATCTCATGGACACACAGTTAAATTCCATTTCCCAGCTCCTATGTGAATAGGCCTCACCACTGGAAAGCAAGTAGAAATGATGTTTTACTACCAGACCAAGACAATTAAAGAGTGGATCAGCCTTCTCCACATTCTTCCACCTACTCTTGCCTTCCTCAGTAATGTTGAAGCCCATGTTTTGAAGACCCAGAACATAGAGTCTGAGTCACTGCTTAGAGGAAAGCTCTTTGACCAAGAACATCCACATTGGACTTTAAACAAAAATAAACATCTATTACATTAAGTTCCTGAGCTTTAGGAAGGTTACAGAAACCAGCATTATAGGGCAGCCCGGGTGGCGCAGCGGTTTAGTGCTGCCTGTAGCCCAGGGCGTGATCCTGGAGATCCGGGATCGAGTCCCACATCAGGCTCCCTGCATGGAGCCTGCTTCTCCCTCTGCCTGTGTCTCTGCCTCTCTCTCTCCTGCTCTGTATCTCTCATGAGTAAATAAAATAAAATCTTAAAAAAAAAAAAAAACCAGCATTATATACCCTGGTTAATATATCTTTTCTGGGCATCCTGTTGACCTCACTCTAGATCACAAAACCCTTTCTGTTTCCTTCAGGGTGCTTCAAACGTAGAATTTTACCAGGTGCCAGTCAACACTCCTGCCTGTTCTATAACTATTAATGGAGAGAAAAACAATCACATGAGGAAGTTGAAATACTCATTTTATCAGTTGTGTTTTGATTGTGATCAGAAGAAAATATCCCACTGAAGAATGTCCTAAACACATTAGATTTTTTTTCTAGTGTAATTAGAAACCTGAAGGTAGGGGCTGTTCGCGTTGGTTTAGGAACTCAAGGATGTTAACCGTTAGGCTGTTATTCCTTGGTCTCTTGATTCTGATGGTCGCAAGATGATGGATGTGTTCTTGATTAAGCAGGGATGCCCTACTTAACTGTTTTTCTTTTTGGAGTCTTGCTGATTACCACAGCCCCTATCTTTTTGGCCTTACTTCAAGGGTCCTTCTGCATTGTTAATACCCTGCTGTAAATATGTTCCATTATTTTTTTTTAAGATTTTATTTATTCATGAGAGACGCCCAGAGAGAGGCAGAGACATAGGCAGAGGGAGAAGCAGACTCCCTGTGGGGAGCCTAATGTGGGACTCTATCCCAGGACCCCAGGATCACGCCCTGACCCAGATGCTCAACTGCTGAGCCACCCAGGCGTCCCTCTTCCGTTATTCCCTACAACATAACTGAGGCCAATCTAAAATATTAACATTTTAAATATGTTTGTCTCCCCTACCCTTTCCCATACCTCAGTGACCTGTCAGCAACCTATCCAATTCAAAGCTATTCTTCCTCCAGCTCAGTGGGATGGGGGACACATTGTTTCTTTCACTCGTTCTTTACCTTCTCTGTTACTTAGGATTGGGGTGAGGAGGGCACATTGGAGGAGAAAAAGCTAAACTCCATCAGTGTGCTCTACCAAGACATTTAAATATTGGCTCTCATGTGGGGTATTGGCTCTCTCTGGAGGCTCCATGGGGACTTGTGCACTGACTGGCTTTGCTTCTCTCTTTATGATACACAGCCTGCACTTCCCCTGGGCAGCCCTTCTGGGAGAGGTCCCAACAAACACCTCACGACTGGTTCCCTTTTATGAAGCCCACCAGAAACTCATGCATGTTTTTGTCCCACCAAACACTAAAAGTGCAGGCCAGCCAGCAGCTGATTCCTCTCCCCTTGCTTGCCCCAGCAAGCCCGATGGACTTCTCCATGTGAGAAATAAGCACCAACTTGTATATGACATGACTCCAAAATAAGTAATTCAGGTTCTATTCTCCCAAGAAGCCTCTGCACCAGGCTCCACCTCAGTGGTCGTATGGAGATTCCTGAGTGTGGCAAGCCTCTAGCTAGAGAATGTAATCTGAGTGAATATAAAGCCTGTCCCTTGTGGGAACACAAAAGGACTATAAATGGTTCTGTTGGAGCCTTCCTTACTTGGTTTAGGATGGAGGGAACAGCACTGCTCCTTTGCCTTGCAAGGAGGAAAAGTTCTCATCTTAAAAATTTCCATCAATGCATCTTTCATTTCCCCCTTTTTATATAGTAGAAAGTTGAGTTGAGAGTCTCTGGATCAGCTTTGATTATCTTAGAGTAAATTCTCTTTGGATATATCCAGCATCTTTATTTAGAACGTGTCAGTACCTGTTATCTACTGTGTTCAGTTTTGGTGTATTTTCCAAAGATCTTCTACAACTGAAAAACTCATTTAACATCCTCTTTCTTATGTTCATATTCTTAGAGAATGTGAGCTGTTTGTGTGCATGTGCTTTTATATAGAGTGTTACTGACAATTTATTTTTACTTTGCCATCCCTCTCCCTCACTCAGCTGTGTTTTTAATATCCATTCACATATCAATCAGGGCCCTGTCAGGGAAATGCAAACCACACTAAGTACTTAAGTGACAGCATTTAACTCAGAGAATTAATTGCAAATGTTAGAAGGCTGGAAGAATAGGAAGAAGTTGCTGATGTAATTCAAAAATTAGTAACTGGAGAAATCAGAACATCCCAAGTCCTGGGAAAACAAACAGGAAGAAGTGATATAATCACCGGAAACTGGTTGCTCAGAGAACGAGCCCCTTTTGACTGGTTCTTGGAGCTCTGTAGGGGAAGCTTCTTCCTCGTACCTAGGGCTTAGACTTCTGAGCAAGGGCATGACTGCCTATCTACTGCTAAAATCTCTATAACAAGTGAGGCAAAGGTGCTGCTAAATGCAGCAGCAGCTCGTAGCTGGACAGTTGCCTGCAGCTGAAGTAGTGTGACAGCAGCTGGAGAACAGGAATGAAGGGCCTTCCTGCTGTCTTTCATTTTGAGTTTCCCTTTAGGAAGTCCCATTGATAGGAAGGACCTGATGGAACCAGCTGGCAGTAGATTCTGGGAAATAGAGTTTGCAGAATCTCTGCTGCAGCAAGACAACCGGAGTGTGTGTAAGGGGGTGGGGAGTAGGGTGGAGTGGGAGGTTGTGCTGCAGAGGGAGATAGTCTGGTGGCTAGGAGCCCAAATAGGTAAATAAGGGATATCATCTGTGTAGCTACTTATACAGGTACTTTGTCGCTTCTGTCAGCCATGCAGTGTTCCAGGGTATACATCCACCATAGTAAATATGTCCATTTACCTGGTTGCTTCAAATTCTTTGCCACCTGGAGAAATTAAAATCCTTGGAGCTAGGATCCTCAGTAAAAACTATGTTACATCAATTAGATTCAGTCATGAGATTTGGGAGGCAAGGGTCCTCTTCCTGTGCTTGGCTGTTGCTACTGGAAAGCAGGTTTATCTAGATGTTTGGCTTTCTGCAGCTGCTTTCACACTAACACCAAGGATGAAGTAAGGATGCCTACTGTAATGGCTGGAGCTCCACATGGGATGGAGGTTCAACAGGTAAAATACCATCTACTCTGTGACACTTTGAGTTTTGCTATAACAAAGTGTGGTTAAGAAGAGAAGGTACTGGAAAGATGTCAATAAGTAATTCACAAAACTTATGAGAAGTCCAAGCAGTGAGGCCTAGAAAACACCTGGACCAAGAGAGGATGGACAGCTATAAAAACTAAGGTCACATGTCAGAGTCAGTCTTGTTAGCATGGCTGCTGGACTTTTTCTTTATTACTGCATAGGTTGATGTTAAGAATTGAGTTAAGCCTCCTACATTTATGGCCCTGTTTTAGGATTGGCCCACGAAAGCTCCCTCTTATTCTTTGTTTCCTTTATTCCTGATTCTTGCTCTTCTGTTCATCACCCCCACAACATGTTGTTGTGTGTCCCTAGATACATATGTATCTTTGGCCACACATATGGTTTGGGTATATATATATGTTGTGGAAGAGACGCACCAGCTGTTCCTCACACCCATTTTCTCCTTCCTGGGAAATCAGCTGGACTCTTTCCCAGCTTCCCTGACCCCTTAGTATGGCCACAGGATTGAACCTAGCCAGTTAGATGGTAGCGGTTGTATCCACAATGGCCAACTTAATGCATTTGCACATATGACCTTGAAAGCTCAGCCACTGAGCCACCCAGGTGGCTGCTTTGAACACCCGGCCAGATCTTTGTGTTCAAGAGAAGTGATGTTGGTGAAAGTCCTTGTCTCACTCTCAAGCTTGAAAAAACAGTGCTTAGTATTTCATCATTGGGTGTGATATTTGCAGCAAGGCTCTGATTAATGGTCGTCAGATTAATGAGGTGCCTTTCTGTTTGCTATTACTTTTATTGTGAATTGGATTTCAAATTTTGTCAAATGCTTTGAATTGAGATGATCATATATATTTTTAAGAGTTCTGTCAGTGTAGGCATGTCTGGGTGGTGCAGTCCGTTGAGCATCTGACTCTTGGTTTTGGCTCAGGTTGTGATCTCAGGGTTGTGAGATTGAGCCCTGCATCTTGAGACTCTCCCCCCCCCTCTCTCTCTCCCTTTCCTGCGTTTGTGCGCACATGCTCTCTCTCTCTCTCTCTCTCAAATAAAAATATTTTTTAAAAAGTTTTGTCAGGACACCTGGGTGGCTCAGTGGTTGAGCGTCTGCCTTTGACTCAGGGAGTGATCCCAGAGTTCCAAGATCAAGTCCCACATCAGGCATCCTGCATGGAGCCTGCTTCTCCATCTGCCTGTGTTTCTGCCTCTCTCTTTCTTTGTCTCTCATGAATAAATAACATCTTGAAAGAAAAAAAAAGTTCTGTCAGTGTAGCAAGTAATAGATTCACTTCCATATGTATGATCAACCTTGAATTTTTAGAGTATAATCACTTTAGTTGATTATTATCCTTTTTCATATATTGCTGAAATCAATTTGGTAATATTTTGCATAGGACTTTTGCAGCTGTGCTCATGAATGAACATAAATGTTTTCCTACAAATCTTCCTTTTCTCAACACTGAGTGCTATACCTGTTGCTATATGTACTTTTAACTCATGTTTCTTTTTCTTCAAATGCTCTATTGGCCTCCCATCTCTCTCATAGCATAATCTAGATTTCTTACAGTGACCTAAAAGGCTCTGTATTTTCTGGATTCCAGTTATCTAACATTCACTCCTTTTACTCATGTTTTTTCAGCTACATGGTCCACTATGCTATTTATTGAAAAGTCTAGGCATACCCCTGCTGCAGGCCACTGTACTTATTATTCCATCTATGTAGATTGTTATTTCCATGATATATACATGACTCACTTATGCACTTCATTCAGGTCTCTTTTCATGTCAATTTTTGTAGTCCCCTCCTCTCTACTGCCATCCATGCTTAATTTTTCTTCAAGGAACTTATCACCTTTCCAATTGCATTTTTGTTTATATGATTATTGTGTATTTCTCCACACCAAAATATAAATTCCAAGACAACAGGCACTTGATCTATTTTATTCAATACTGTACCCCTAGGATCTAAGACTTACTTGCCTCCAATGTCTTTAGTTTTCTAGAGTTTCCATTTATTTATTTATTTGAGACAGAATAAGAAAGCATCAGCAGAGGGGAGAGGCAGAGGAAAAAGTAGGTTCCCCAATGAGCAGGGAGTCTGATGTGGGGCTCTATCCCAGAACCCCAGGATCATGACATGTGCTGAAGACTCTTAACTGATCGAGCCACCCAGAGTGCCTATTTAGAACATTTAACATATCCATTCTCCTAGTTAAGGAATTTAGATTATATAAATCTTTGTCACCACAAAAAACTAAGTAAAGAATTTTCTTATAAATGTTCTCTTAAAAATATATGTGTGGGTGTTGTTTCCAGATTTTAAGTCCATTTGTGAGGCCATTTATTCCCCTATAAAATATAACAAAATTAACAATAAAAATCTAACTAAAATGTAAACCAAAAGGCAATTATTTGAAGACACTGAAAAGTAAACAAAAGCAGGCAAAACTAGAGGACAGTTTACCTTTAAAAGACTTCAACTGCAATGGATAAAAATTATGATTTTGTGGTCTTTGCCTGAAGGTCCTTCCCAACCCCACCCTATCCACCAGTTCTAAAGGCAGAAAACCAGAGCCTCACTGGCCCAGAATAGCAGAAGACATAGTTCAGGATGGTAAAGCAGCTGGAAATTTAAGAGCAGAAATCCTGGAAGTGGCATGAGGTGTGAAACCAAAATACTAACATGAACTGCCCAAATCTTTGCATGACTGCTAAAGTATACATGCACAGAGGAGACTCAGGGGGCCTAGCAAATAAAGCTGACAGAGTCCAGTGAAGAATCTGCCTTTGAATGACAGAAGTGCACTAGCTGAGATGTGCAAATTTGCTTTTTTTTTTTTAAGATTTTATTTATTTATTTATGAGAGAGGCAGAGACATAGGCAGAGGGAGAAGCAGGCTCCATGTAGGAAGCCTGATATGGGACTCGATCCCAGGACTCCAGGATCATGCTCTGAGCCAAAGGCAGACGTTCAGCCACTGAGCCACCCAGGTGTCCCATTTTGCTGCTCTTTTGACAGTGCCTTCCTCAATTCATGTCCAGCTTAGGTGGCAACTGAAGGAAGTGTCAGGGGATGGGTTTGGTAATGGAAAGCAGCTGGAAATTTAAAAAAATCCCAGAAGCAAAAGCACTGTAGAAGAGGTGAGCTCCAAAATCTGAGCCAAAATCTGCTCAGATCCTTGGCCAGTGACTAAACTATGTAAAATGCAGAGATGCCCTGAGACCAGGCTCTTAAAAAAAAAAAAAAAAAAAAAGGCAAGCTGTTGCTAGAAGCTGGAAGAAATAAAGATATCTGCTGTTGCATAACCCAGGAAATAAAATATTTGCAATTTAAGCCCACCCGCACCCCAAAATGCCTGCTAGAACACCAACAACACATCTTCAGAATATGACAGAAGGAAAACTTACTACAACATATTATCCACAACAACCAGCTTTCAACCAAAATTACCAGGCATACAAATAAACAAGAAATTATAACCCTGTTATAAAAGCATGAAATTATAAACAGTAATTTATACTCAGAGTAAAAGACACTCGATAGAAATTGACTCTAGGGAGCTCACATATTGGATTTAGCTGTCAAATACTTCAAAGTAGCTGTTATTAGTGTGTTCAAACTATGAAAGGAAAATACGTATAAGAAACTAAAGGAAAGTATGGCCTCAGTAAATATACAGATGGGGAACCTTGCCAGAGACAGAAACTACAAAAAGGAACCAAATGGAAATTCTAGGACTGAAAAGTATAAATAACTAAGAGGAAGGAAAAGATAATATAAATAACTCAGTTTGAGTAACACAGAAAATAGACTGAAAGAAATGGACAGGGCCTCAGGAAACTGTGGGATGATAACAAAAGATCCAACACAATCCAGGATTGTGTCATCAGAATCCTAGAAGGAGCTAAGAAAGTACTTGATGAAAAATAGCTGAAAACTCCCCAAAATTTGGCGAGACAGAGTGAACCCCAAACAGGATAAACATGAAAAAAAAAATCAGTTATCAAACATATCATAATTAAACTTCTGAAAACTAAATTTAAAAAAAATTAAAATATTGAAAGTGACATCTAAAGGGGGAAAACAGTTTGAATAACAGTAGATTTCTCATCAACCATGGAAGCTATAGGGAGTAGTATATTTTTCAGGTTGAAAGAAAAAAAACATTAACTCAATATACCCAGTGAAAATATTCTTACGGAATGAAGGAGAAATATGGACATTCTCAGAGGAAGGAAAATGAGAATTTGTCACCAGCAGACCTACCCTAAATGAATGGTTAAAAGAAGTTACTTGAACAGAAAGGAAATGATAAAAGAAGAAATCGGGGAACATCGAGAAAGATGAAAGATCATGGTAAATAAAAATATGTGCCAGTTGAACTAGCTTTCCTTCTCTTGAGTTCTCTGAATTTTTTTGTACTGGTAGAAGCAAAAATTATGATGCCGTCTGGTGCTGTAATGTGGGAGAACTAATGTTCATATGTGGGAGAAATATTTAAGATAATTATAAACAGGAAAGTATAAAGGGAGGTAAAGTTTCAATACTTCACTTGAACTGGTAAAATCACAACACCAGTAGACCATGTTAAGTAACACATTTAAATTGCAATAGGTACAGCAACAACTGAGAAGTTATACAAAGATACAAGCTCAAAATCACTATAGATCGCTCAAAATGAAACTCTAAAAAGTACCCAGTGAACCCATGGAAGCCATATAAAAGAAAACAGGCAAAAAAAAAAAAAAAAAAAAAAAAAAAAAAAACAGCAGCAATCTGAAAAAAAGTGGCAACTTTACTCCCTAACATCAATAATTACGTTATATATTAATGAACTGAATACACCAATTAAACAGCAGAGATGGGCAGAGTGGTAAAAAAAAAAAATGACTCAACCATACTTTGTGACAAACTCACTTTAAATGTAACAGTACAGGCAAATTGAAAGAGGATGAAAACGATTTATCATGCAAAAATTAAAGCAGGAGTGGTGATACTAATATCAAATAAGGTAGACTTCAAAGGGGAATTTGACAAAGACAGGGAGGGACATTATATATTGATAAAAGAATTCAGGGGATCCCTGGGTAGCTCAGCGGTTTAGCACCAGCCTTCGGCCCGGGTGTGCTCCTGAAGTCCCAGGATCAAGTCTTGCATCGGGCTCCCTGCAAGCTTCTCTCTTTCTGTGTCTCTCATGAATAAATAAATAAAATCTTTAAAAAAAAAAAAAAAAAGAATGCAGCAAGAAGACATAACAGTCTTACATGTGTATATAACAACCTTGTGCAAAACATGTGAAGTAAAACTGATGTAACAGAAAGGAGAAATAAAACCAAACCTCAATTGCAGTTGGAGACTTCTTCACCCCTCTCAAACAACTAAGACAGAAAATCAACAAGTATACAGAGCACTGGGTGTTATTCTGTATGTTGGCAAATTGAACACCAATAAAAAATAAATTTATTATTAAAAAAAAAAGGACTCAACATCTTCAACCAATAGGGTCTAATTGACATTTATAGAATATCCAAGGAAATTAGAATACCCAAGGAAATTATCTTCAAGTACTCATGGAACATATATGAAGAAAAGTTCTATCTTGGGCCATAAAATAAATTTTGAAAAATTTAGAAGAACTGAAATCATATAGAGTGTGTTTTCTAGCCATAACAAAGTCAAACTAGAAATCAGTAGCAGGAAAACCTCCAAACATTCAGAAGCTAAACAGTAAACTTAAAGTAGGAGGAATGAACCTACCCAGTTTCAAGACTTACTATATAACTACAATAATCAAGACTGTGGTATTGGGCAGCCCGGCGGGGCTCAGCGGTTTAGCGCCACCTTCAGCCCAGGGCGTGATCCTGGAGACCCGGGATCGAGTCCCACGTCGGGCTCCCTGCATGGAGCCTGCTTCTCCCTCTGCCTGTGTCTCTGCCTCTCTCTCTCCTCTCTCTCTCTCTCTCTGTGTGTGTGTGTGTGTGTGTGTCATGAATAAATAAATAAAATCGTTTTAAAAAAAAGTGTGGTATTGGTGGAAGGTGGGCTAGGTATATAAATCAGTAGAACAGAATAGAAAACTCAGAAATAGACTAACACAACTATGCCAAGCTGATTTTTGACAAAGGCGCAAAAGCAATTGGGTGCGAGAAAGCCTGAAAAACAAATAGAGCTGGAGAACTTGGACATCCTTACGCAAAAAATAAACCTTGACCTAGTTTCACACCTTAGATAAAAATTAACTCAAAATAGATCATTGGCTTAAATGTAAAGTACAAGACCATAAAAGAACTTTAGAAAAGAAACACAGGAGAAAAATCTTTACTATTTATAGTGAGACAAAGTTTTAAACATGACATCAAAGCATAATCCATGAAAGAAAACTGATAAACTGGACTTCATCCAAGCTAAGAACTTTTGCTCTGAAAGATCTGATTAAGAGAATGCTTTAGACTGGGAGGCCATATTTGCAAACTACATATCTGACAAAGGATTAGTAGCTAGAATATATAAAGAACTCTCAAAATTCAGGAGTAAAAAACCTACTAGCCTTCAATCTATTAAATAAATTGAATTTGTAATTTAAGACTTCCCCTACAAAAACAAAACTAATTCCAGGCCCAGATGGTTTTACTGGCAAATTCTGTCAGTCATTTAAGGAAGAAAGAAATGTTAATCCAACACAAATTCTTTTAGAAAGTAGAGTAGGAGAGCACATGCCAACTCATTTTGTATGTGACCCACTAATATATATACCTGGGAGCAGAACATAGTATAGTTAATTAATTTCACCAAGTGCTGCCAGATTGCTCCCCAGAATAACTACACCAGGATAGCCATCTACCAACAGTGCATGAGAATGCTTGTTTTCCACTATATCCTCAACATTTGGTATGGAAGAGGAAAGAGAAAGCTGTAAGGAGAATAGATTCTGGGGACAAATGTCTGGATTCAAAAACGCCCCACCATTTTCTGATTTCATGACCTTGGCTAATTTACTGAATCTGTAAAACAGTCCCTTTTAGATACCAGAGCTTCTTAGGCATTAATGGGTGAAACTAGCAACTATTTTTTCTATTTCAGACATTTCCCCCTATATATCCTATTTCTGAATGAGGATTTTATTTTTTTAAGATTTTATTTATTTTAAGATTATTTTTTTAAGATTTTATTTATTCATGAAAGACACAGATTCTTCTGGAACACAGATGTTCCAGACCAGACAATTTCACTACTGTCTATCATATAAATTAAAATCCTAACAAGCAAATCAGAGTCCCAAACAATGAAAGGAAA